GCAGGATACTTCGCCGCCCATATCCGCTGGGATCTCTTCTTGGGACTTCAATGACAGCTTTTTCATGTCCCACTCTCCCGAGTCAGCGAATTCTTTCTTCTCGCCAAGCACGCAGACCGCCTGTCGCGGCCCATCGACCAGGAACTTCTGGGCGACCTCGTTGACGTCCTTGGCAGTCACGTCAAGGACCTGTTCTCTCCAACGCTGGTCCATCTCATGTGTAACGCCGCTCATGAAATACTGCATCCCTTCCTCGTCGACACTGGTCGGCGCATCAAGTCCTTGGAAGATGCTCAGTTTTGCTTCTTCAAGTTCCTTTTCGCTCCAGGAGCGATCCCGCGCAAAGACTCCGCTGTTCTTAAACACATTGAGAGTGTTGAGCGGGTTGGGATCGCGGTAGCTGGAGAGGGTGAAGACACCCTTGATCGGCGCGTTGCTGGCACCGGCACCGTACGCACCGCCCTTTTCTCGAATTTCGGGGTGCAGGTACTTATGTGTCAGAAGCTGAGAGAGCACACTGAGCGGCGCACTGGACGGATCGACGAATGGGACTGTCTCCATCGCAAGTCCAGAGTAGTAGACCTTATATGGGAGATCATAGAGCACCATTCCGGATGCGCCGGTGGGTTGATCGTCTTTCGCCGTCTTGGGAATGGTGGGAGTTTGAGGGAGAGCAGAAAGCCATTTTTGCAAGGTGCTTTCGTTCTCAGCCGCGCTATTAGGCTCGCAGACCATACGCACCCGGAGTTTGTGTGACCTTGAGATAGCAAATGACTGGATCAGTCGAAGCTTCTGTAGAAGCTCGTCGAGTCGATCCGGCGAACTTTCGGCATCGCGAAGAAGATTAGCCGTTGCTTGTAATTGGGTCAACCCAGACTGCTGCTCTTGAACCCAGAACCTTCTTGACAACGTAGCTGCAGCAGCATTCGCAGCATAACGGTGACCAGACCCCGCAACAGCGTCCAAGGCCCCGTTCGTTGTGGAACGCAAGAGTTCTAGGAGCATTTTTGGTGCCGCCGCGCTTGTAAAGTCGGTTTCGGTGATGAGAGCGCGGATGATCTCAAGCATCGTAGGAACATTTTTGTCCAAGGCGTAACCAGAAAACTGCAGCCCTTCGCTGAATTTACCCAACTCCGTTGGAGATGAGACCAGGTAGGTGGATGTCGAGACTCCCCCGGTCTTCAATTTAATGAGGTCTTCCCATTGCTCCATGGTTCTGTTAGCAGTGCCTAGCCGCATAATACAGTCATTGAAGAGCGGAATCAATAAACGAAGCTCGTTCGGCAAGTCATCCAAGGCGTTTAGAGCTTGGAAGTAGGTAAGACCATTTGTTGGTGCTTCGCGCCAAACGACATCGACGTTGTCCACTTTGCCTTCTCGCACGGGTTTGCGCTCTTTCTCCCTGGAAATATCGCTGACATGAAGCGAAGGCAAGCAGCTGACATCCGCATGTTGAGCATTTTCCTGGATCTTGAGCAGCTCCAGCTCCTCCTTGTCAAGGTGGGCAACCGCATTCTCAACTGAGCCGAACTTGGCTGTTAGTTCCGCGAGTTTAGCATCCTTTCGGGCCTTTTCTTTCGCATCTAACTCTTCGTTGAACGTCGGTGACCCAACCATGGTGAAAGTCATGTAATTATCGTTGAGGAGGTACTTCTGCAACAGAGACTCGAGATAGCCACCTTGTGCGTATCTCCTTTTGAATTCGTCGATGACGTCATTCCACGCAAGTTCTTTCATAGGGTCATTGCCGTTGAACCAGGACGACAATGTCTTCTCCATGACTCCAATTCCAAAATTGGCAGTTTTATGTCTCAGAGCGAGCTCCAACTGATGGAGGTACCCCTGAACCTTGTCGTCGCTGAACCCATTCGAGAGACATTCGTGGAACACGTTTCGGATCGCCTCGTTAACCCTTGGCACATCCTCTTCCCTGACTCCATTCACACCGACAGAAAAGATGGGTTTCTTACTCGAAGTGTCCAGACCGGTGTTGGGTGTGAATGATGAGCCAAGCTCACTTTCAACTAGTGCCCGATACATAGGGGAGCCGTAGCCATCAAGGAGCAGCGACGAAAGTATCCCCGCGGAGAACGTCTCGACAACGTCGGCGGTGTCACCCATCAGCCAAGCAGTCGAAGTCTTGTATTGCCTGTCCTCACTGGTGAATGTGTCGATGGGGCCTGGTATGGTCACGTTGATAGGTCCGCGGCTGAGATCGAGCGGCAGCTTGACATCCTTGTCAGCTGTTCCCTTGTCAAAGCCGTTCAAAACACTTCCAATCTGTTCAAGATGATCGCTCAGCGGCATATCACCGTAGGTGAAGATCTTCGCGTTGCTAGGGTGATAATTTTTCCGCGAGAAGTCGACCAACTGCTTGTGCGTCAAATCCGTTATAAACTGGGGATCGCCGCCGGAGTTGTTGATCGCTGGGAAGATGTGCTCCTTGAACCGGATATAGTACAGGTAGTTCGCATCGGACATCTGACCCTTCATCTCATTGTAAACCACGCCCTTGAAGACAATGTCTTCGAGCTGTTTGCTAGCCTCCGGTGACCCTCCGCGTTCCTCCGCAGCCCTTGGGTTCTCAGGTCCTATTCTCCATCCCTCTTGTCTGAAGTCCTCCTCCTTCAGCAGCGGATGGAGCGTAGCATCGAGGTAGACGGACAGCAGATTCTTAAAATCTTGTCTGTTGGTGGTGGCGAACGGGTAGGTCGTATGGTCAGAGGAGGTAAACGCATTCATAAAATTAGAGAGCGATCGAGGCAGCATCTTGAAGAAGGGATCGCGGACAGGGTACCTATGGAACAAACGTTAGCCAAACCATGAGTTGCATGGGTTCACTGGAGGCGCTGACTTCTCGCTACCACATAATGTGGTATGTTCAAGGATGTGAGGTACTCCTGTCGCGTCCGGAGGATTCGTCTTGAAGCCGATGCTGAAGACATTGTTCTTGTCCTCTCTCGCCACATGGAGGTATTCTGCGTCCGTCTTGTCGTGTTTCAGGAGGACAGCGGAGAGATGCAGTTCGGGGACATGCTTTTTATCCCGAACCGTAAAGCCGTGGAGCTTCTCGCCAACGGCGGGAAAGTTCTTCAGATCCGTTACTGTCGATGCAGCTCGACGAGGCAATGCCAACCCCGACAGTCGAGAGCCTGGCGTCCGCAACGGCGCTTTGGCCGCTGGTTGTAGCAGAGACAGTCCATTTTTGCGCACGCCTAGCGACGCGCGCAACATGACGGGCGAGTTGCCACGAGAAAATCGGAGGAAGGAAGTAGATGGTTCGACTAGTCAGAGCTGCCAAGGTCCTCGCATGTCAAGCCTGCTTTATATAGGGTACCGTAACTCCGGAGCCTCGGACAGGAACGGACCACAGGCGGAGGTCGCACGGTGGCGGCAAAGACGAAACACGCCCAATTGAGTCAGCACGCGACAAGCCCTGCTTCCAATAGGATTCTGGACGGGCGTCCTCGACAACAGTAGGGCTGCTAGCGAGCTGTCAGAAGCGCAATTCCTGCGGAGAGCCGGAGGTCGCGTAACGACGATCTGGCTGCGTGCCGCGGCCGCCGAGACGAGCAGCGAGAATTTCGCACTAGACTCGGATTGGCCAAGTGTGCATCCCCCTCTTACGACTGGCTTCGTGTCTCCGGCAAGATCCTCGAGCCTCTCGTCATTCTGCTCGAGACTGCCTCTGCCAGGCACCGAGTTCTGCGGCCGCCTACGAACACCGCTGTCTGTCCTGGTCTCTTCTGCTTTTGCCGGATATTTCCGTGCGTGGCTGTCAATCGTTAGCAATCTCCGGGCATCTGAAAAATTCACCAGTGTCTTCGCCGACGCGAGTGCCGGTCTTCTGCGCTACATCACGCAGAAATCTTTACCAGCCGTAGCTGGAGAGGACTGTCGGAAATAGTCTAGTCGACTGCCTGACCGCAACTGAGTCAGTTGCGGTCCAGGCATGGCTGTTGCTGTCTCCTACGCTCCTCGGATTACTAGCGATCCTTTCGTTTTATCGGCCAGGAACGATCACGCGAACACTACCCAGACCTCGTCAGCCACCCCACGACCATTCGTCCAGTATAATTGTGCGCCATTAGCCATGTCATCCGCCGCAATGTCGAAAAAGGCCAAGGGGAAGAAGGTCGCAAATGACCCCAATGAGACGTCGAAGCTGTTGGCAGCTAAGATCTCTCAGCTGGAGCAAGATGCCGCGGGAGAGAAGGATCAAGAAGCCGAGATCGGTGCGTAACTCATACTATGTGTTCCTCTGCCACCTAGATGCCGGTCCGTGCCCTAACGAGGTTTGTTACAGAACGCGAGGTGAAGAAGGCGACGCGGGATCTCAACCAGCTGCTGAGCAATATCGAATCGCCAATGACTCGACTGGAGACGGTGCATAAGAAGTATACGGAGCTGTTGGCGGACATGAAAAAGCTGGACCGCGACTATGCGAAAAGCAAGAAACGAGCGGATCAATTGCAGAAAGACCAAGACAAGGGCAAGTCGGAGTTGAACAAAACAGCTACCATGAAGGACAAGCTCGAGAAGCTGTGCAGAGAGCTCACCAAGGAGAACAAGAAAGTGAAAGTGGGTTGACTCACGGCTGCGATTGGAACGATGTGACGCTGATTGGCATGCGTCTGCAGGATGAGAATAAGAGGCTCGAGGAGAATGAGAGAAAGGCGCGCATGATCGTTAACGAACGTCTTGACTCGCTTCTGTACGATATCCAGGATGTGATGAACTCCAAGGGCAACCCGAAGAACGAGAAGATGGATATCGACATGGAAGAGGCGTGAGTGCTGCTACGTTTCTGGATTCATGCCGCGACTCTAACTCGAGGTTCTAGGCTTCGCGCAAAGATCAAGACCATTGGCGAGAAGTTTGAATTGCGCGAATCGCACTACAAGGGGCGTTTTGCGCAGTAAGGATGCCGAAATCCAGAGCCTGACTGCCAAGTACGAGGAGCAGCGCCGCGCTGCGGAGAATGAGGCTGCTCGATGTCGTGCTCTCAGCTCGCAGGTGTCGACCTTCTCACATACCGAGGCCGAGCTTCGCAGCCAGCTCAATATCTATGTTGAGAAGTTCAAACAGGTAGGCGCAACTGTCGAAACTATCTGGAGCCCGTTTCTGAGGCACGTCATAGGTCGAAGATACACTCAACAATAGCAACGAGCTCTTCCTTACATTCCGCAAGGAGATGGAGGAAATGTCAAAGAAGACCAAACGGCTGGAGAAGGAGAACCTGACCCTGACGCGCAAACACGACCAAACCAACCGAAACATTCTGGAGATGGCCGAAGAGCGGACCCGGAACCAGGAAGAGCTGGAGAAGTGGCGCAAGAAGAGCAACCATCTGGAGGCGCTATGTCGTCGGATGCAAGAACAGGGCCGGGCCAGGGGATTACGGGAGAGTTGGATGGAGATGATGAAGGCACAGAGAGTGAGTATGATGAGGACTATGAGGATGAAGATGATGAGGTGATCAGTGACGAGGAGGAATATGAGCTCAACAGTGGACATCATGAAGCCGTCCGTGAGCACGGATCCGAACAGCAGCAACCCGAGAAGCCCGTGTATGGGCCGCCGCCGCCGCCTGCCCTCGCGGAAGCACGCACCAACGGTAACAAAGCCGTGGTCAACGGGTGTTCGTAACGGCTGTTCCCTCGTTGTCGCTGTGTTGGAGACAGAAATCCGGATCAGCAAGGCGATTGACTCGACGCGATCAAATGTGCTAAATATGGTTGACTGATACCTATCTGTTGTCCGTTGTCTTTGTTTGCCCAGCCGTCTGTCTGCTCTACCTTACTTACCTAGGTAAGGTAGACCATAGGTGGTCAGTCTGGCTTACGGTACTGTACTCTGTTGCATTGTGTGACTGGTGTCATGATCCTATTGTCAATTGCCTGTCTCTAGTCTGATCCCAATGAAAGAGAAAGAGAAAGGGGGGTGGGAGGGAGATTCGAAGTGGCTGTTTGATTGATTGACTGATTGACTGACTTATCGATGGAAGCAGCAGATAAATGAAGTTCCACAATACAATCAATCCAAGTCATTGCTGCCAATTCCGTTCCGTAGAGAGATGTCTCAGCCTCTTTATATGCTTGCTTCCCTGTCTTTCTCTCACACACTCTCTTTTCTCCGTGTCTCCATTAGGGACTCTGCTTGCTTGCTTTTAGCTGTCGAAAACATATCGTGCGTTTCTTCTTTTGCCTTCTTTTTTTACAGTCATTGATTCGATACGACTGGTGATATGTGTACATGTGTAACAACTTGGCAGTCACATTCGAAATTCCTCATTAGTCGTAGTAAGTATGTGCTAGGAGTCAGTTAGAGCTTGCTGGCAGTGGTAGTGGCGCCGCCTTTGTTGTTGATATATGTATGACCCAGCTTCAGCATCTCGACCGCTTCCTTCACCATGTCCTCGACAATCGTCCGCGCGGGCTTGATGTCTTTAATGATGGCAGAGACACTGCCCATCAGGAAGGGCATGTCGACGTCCTCCTTGCCCTCGTCGATGTCGTGCATCATCGGGACGATGCCCTGCTGCGTCAACCGCGCGATCTCCTCCGGCCGCTCCTCCCATTTCTTGATGTACTCGTTGGGCAGCACCCGCAGCGGTCGTCCCGACACCACAAGCGTCCGGATCGTGTCCCCGAATCCTGCGGAGACTACTGCTTTCTTGTGCTGCTGGCTTGCGCCGCTCTCCTCCGATGCGACGAAGCGAGTGCCCACCCACACGCCGGACGCTCCCAGCATCAGCGACGCAGCCAGGCTTCGACCATCGCTGACGCCGCCGGCGGCAACCACCAGAGGCGTCTTCCCCGTCATAGGGCTTTTGTAATTCTTGACCACGTCCACGACAGCCGGGATGAGGACGGAGAAAGGGATGTCTCCGGTATGGCCACCGCCTTCACCCCCCTGGGCACATATAATGTCCACGCCGAGTTTGAGCGCCTTCTCTGCGTGCTTGGGCGCGCCGACCATGTTCATCACCAAGATCCCGGCCTCGTGAAGGCGCTTGATGGTGCGCTCGGGCGGCACGCCGACGGCGCAGATGAACAGCTTCGCGCCGTGCGAGATCACCACTTCGATCAGCTCGTCCAGCTGGCCGTGCGTGTAGTCATGGTTCGTCTTGCGGGCGCTTCCGCCGACCTGCGGCAGGGCCAGATCCACGCCGAATGGGAGGTTGGGGTCGCGCAGGAGGGACTTGAGTTCGGTGAGCATCTCGGAGAGCTGCGCTGGCGTGTAGCCCAGACCGCCAACGCTGCCCAGGCCGCCTGCATTGGAGACGGCAGCAGCCAGCGGTGCGCCAGAGGCCTTGGCCATTCCGGCCAAGAGGATAGGGTGTTGGATTCCGAGAAGTGAGCATAGCGGGGTGTGCAGAGACATGGTTGAGGAAGACCGGAAACGGTCAGCGGGCTCAGCGGTCTTCAAAGCAGCTTATTCTTAGTCCTAGTAGTGAGATTAATTGGTCAATTGAGTTTGTAGACACTAATAGATTCAACAATGGCAGATACGCGCGTTAGCCTTGTAACTGTTCTGGTAAAAAAAAGAGAGAAGATAATTCAATCGACAAGTAGCAGGCTCATTTCATCATCACCAATAGACTATCGTTGAAGACAGAAGCCCTCCAGAAAATTGATTCAATAATATATCGATCGTTCTGAGAGACGCGGAGGTGGAGGAATACGGAGTATGCGGGGATAGAGCAAGCTATCGGAGCCGAACCGAGGCATCCTTGCCTACCTAGGTTAGAGGTCAGTTCCTGCATTTGACAGACTGATCCAGCTCTGTATATTGGCAAATTGGCAAATGTTGTCCTCTTTATTTGCTTATTTGTTTAGCAAAGATCATCGGCTGTCTTGATGGATGGATTTTCAATTCTCTTTCTTTGTCTGAAACGCTCGAGGGTCTTGCTAAGGGCAGCACGTCTCGTATCAGACTGTTGTCACATATTCAGCGATACCGTCAAGATTCCAGAAATAGAGTAATCTGAATTGAACAGACGTTGCAGTTTCGATCCAAGGATCAATATGGTAGATAAGAAGATTCTCTCAATGGTGGATCTGTTGTAGGTCGGATCGAGCTTGTCCCAAGGCGGTAACATATTACTTCCGCGAACGCCAAAAAACGCGTGATGCGCGTCACTCAATTCTCCGCAGGGACATCTGCATCACCACAATTCAATGATCAAGGTCTGCTGCTTGACTTGGAGCTTCGCATAGAATTTCTTTTTTATTTCACAATTGACGTTGATGAATGAAATAATCATATCGACAGCATGACCGACAATTCAGAAAGTCGATTCCTCAAACCGCCAAGGTAGGTCGAACCCCGCTCGCACGACGCTGTGGTATAGAACTATTCAGATTTGCGGACCCTCTATATTCTCTTTTGATGTTACTGATGAGATTTAATTTTTAGCGACACGGAATACCCCCCTCAATACCGCGCCGCATCCTTCTACAGCCCTCTTCACACCTTCCAGCTACCAAGGGCGGATAACCGGCATTACCAACAACAATATGGCGACATGTACTTCTTGCGTCTCGCGAGGTTGAAACCGGCAGCAGAACAGGTTGCAAAAGAGGCGTGGGATGGTTTCAGTGTAAGAATCCCTGGGGATGGTACATATCAGTTGTCATCTGGGGAGAGTACGATTCGTGGACGACTGACGATGAGTTAGATCGCAGGGGAACATGCCCGTCGGGTGGAGAGAGTGCTGGATGTGCGACAAGGAGAGCTCTGCTGGGTTGTGGGGACTGTATACATGGATCTGCCGCTGAAGCCGAATATCCTGGATGATGTGGTCAAAGATGTGTGTTACCCTATACCCTGTTCCTTTTCCTTTTTTTTCCCCATTATTTTTCGGTCGTTTAGACTATAAGCTGACAGAATTCAGCACTTTACTGCCGCTCCACCCCCTCGTCGTACCTATGTCGATCCGTCAAATCCGTCGTTAACGCAGATAATGTTGGAAGACGAATCGGGTCGTCTTCGGTTGACGGGAAATGTGCTACGAACAACACATTTAGTGACCGGTGTGATTATTGCTGTTCTGGGAACAGAAAATTCAAACGGCGACTTTGAAGTCATCGACATCAAAGTCCCTGACTTTCCTCCCCAGCCTCGACGATGGGAGAGGGCCGCCAGTGATAATGTAGACAGCAAACTGGAGCAGCCTGACGAGAAGAAAAGGAAAGGCTCGACAAAGATAGCTTTTGTTAGTGGTCTGGGCATCACTGGAACTTCGAGCGATACTCTGGCCCTGGAGCTCTTGACGGATTATCTGCTTGGGTACACCGGGCCTTCTGAGGAAGATGAGCCTTGCGCGTCAAGGATCAGCCGGCTCATTATTGCTGGAAATTCGCTGGGCGACGCAGAAACCGCTAATGCAGCAAATGCTGACAGTGCCACTGACGGCAAAAAGAAGCCGGCTCCGAAGAAGTACGGCTATGATGCATCCGCTTACAATCCTTCTCCAATTACACAACTCGATTCTTTTCTCACAGAGATTCTTCCCAGCATACCCGTGACACTTATGCCGGGCGAGACGGACCCGGCCAATTTCTCCCTTCCTCAGCAAGGAATTCATCGAGCAATGCTACCCAGGGCCAGGGCATACTGCTCGGATAGTCGGCCTGGAGATGAAAATGCGGAGCCTGGTTGGTTCGACAGTGTCACCAACCCATGGGAAGGTTATGTGGAAGGATGGCGTCTGTGGGGTTGCAGTGGCCAGAATGTCGACGATGTTCTTCGTTACTTGGACTTTGCCGATGAGGATGGAAATGTTGAATCGGATAGAGACGATGGGGATACTCGACTGAGGATTATGGAAGCGATGCTGAGGTGGAGATGTGCAGTTCCGACTGCACCTGACACGCTATGTAAGACCTCCCCTCTTCTCTTACGTACTCATTCTCTTTCTTGTATGAAATAGCGCTAACGAACAATAGGGTGCTATCCCTTCCAAACCCACGATCCGTTCATTCTGCAAGCCTGTCCACATATATTTTTCATTGGCAACCAGCCTCAATTTAAAACCACAGTGGTAGAAGGTGAATCCACCTTCCGTCTCAACGGCACGGACGCAGACATGCCCGACGCCGCAGACGACAGTCTTACCCCTCGAGTCCGTCTTCTCGCGATCCCCAAGTTCCATGAGACGGGGGAGCTGATCCTCGTCGACACGGACACGCTAGAGGTGGAAGTAGTGAAGTTTGATGTATTCTCAGGGCAGGAAGAGAAGAAGTAATATATGTACGATACCAGCGCATGTTACGTACGACTGATGATATAGACCGGCTGGACCTATTGCTAGGTAGTGTTTGTTTATCAGCATCGTTGAGTCAGTTTGTAATACTAACTCTGTCTACGTATATTCCCTTGATAATTAATTAACTTTTCGGTTTATTTAACTTTCTTCGGACTTAGATATGTGATTATGCAGTGTTGAATTGGTGAAATATAGATAAACGTTGCGAGTGGCGCCAATTGAAGGCATACATGATTGGTCGGCAGGAGAACGGACAAAATGAACAGCAACTAAAAAAAATATCAAGTACAGTATCCAATGCAATTCCGCTCACATCTTCCCTGTCCAGACGATATTCGAAAGAACGTGCCTGAATTGGATGACTTAATCAGCAGGCAAGATCTGACAGCTGCTTAAGCTTAGAGTCAGCGTGTTAGCAAAGCGGCGGGCAAGGGAAAAAAAAGGAAGAAAATGCTCCTCAACGCCAATACCGGTATGTTCCAATAACCAACCATAAAAAAAAATCCCATACATTTAGAAGAAATATAAATAATAAAACGAAATAGTTGATTAATAGTAACTACCTTCAATGAGAATTCCTGACTGATACGATTGTTTGTTTTTTTGCCAGCAATCTCCACATCCAGAGTCCTCTTGGTGCCATACTCCAAATGGCACGTGTCGAAATATCATGAGTGGATGAAGGATGAGGTATGTTCATATATTATACATCCGGACATAAACACATATATGCATATGTAATAGCTATTTGTAATTTCAATTCTGTTATAATGTATCTTGTTCTTTCTTCCCGATCTCAACGGGCTCATTTTATTTTCATGCATATTGCTCTACATAAGATGGATTTTTCCTTAACTGTGATGGATAGGAAATCCAACAAGCGACAGCTTCAGAGCCCCTGACGCTAGAAGAGGAATATGCCATGCAGCAGAGCTGGCGGACTGATGGCGACAAGCTCACTTTTATTGTCTGCTTACCACTGCGGAGAGACGACAATGTCAATAATAATGACAGCAGTCGTGGCGAAGATGTACAGCAGCAACAAGATTTGAATTCTACCACGACTACGACAATCACAGAGCAAGACGACGCCCCTGATCGAATGCTGGGGGACGTCAACCTCTTCCTACGCTTCGACGAGGACGACGACAACAACGACAAGATCATCGGCGAGATCGAGCTCATGATCGCCGAAAAGCAGAACCAGCGACGAGGATTCGGCCGAGCCGCTCTGCTATCTTTCCTGCGGTACATCATCGATCACGAATCTGACATTGTCGATGAATTCCTCTCCCAACAAGAATGCAAAGAAGGAGAAGAACGGACCGCTTCTTCGAAGAAAAAGCTGTCCTGCCTCAGCGTCAAAATCGGCCAATCCAACGCCCGGAGTCTGGCGCTGTTCGAGAGCCTCTCGTTCCGGAAAGTCTCCGACGAGCCGAATTATTTCGGTGAGTTTGAGCTGCGGAGGAGTCGGGCGGATCTGGATCAGCAAGACGTTCGGGAGATGTTGAGCAGGTTTGGGGTTGATGCGTATGTGGAGTTGGGTTATTATGATAGAAAGTAGGATGGTTCGTCGTCGCAATTATTGTTATCATTATCCGGATGTAAATACTGAATATACCTGGTTGGGGTTTTTTCGATTTGATGGCGCTGTCATGTTCACGCATACTTAAGTATACATCAAGTGATTGACGCAGTTACAAACGAGTTTTCAAAGGAGATAGTTGTATTTTCAACTGTTTTTGAATTGGTATTCAGACTCCAAGACGTCCCAGCCGGAACATCCTGAAGGAAAATTATATCGTACGTAAGGGAAAGGTCCGTCCATCATGCATTTGATAGAGCAATCACCATATGAAAACAGACGTAGGAACATTGCATGCATGCCTGCAGCAGCTCTCAAGCTGGAGCAATGCCAGTTCCCTTTCCCCTGGGAAGTCTATGTCTTTTTTTGTTGATTTCTTTTGATTAATTGATCATCGCATTATGTACCTGACCTCGTCAACCGTCGTTCGCTTCCATTCGCCTGCCTCGACAGTCCAGTCCAGTCTATCCACCACTACGCAGATAACTTAGATAGACTTCTTCTTGTTGGTGGCGCCCTTGGAGACATCGACAATCTTGAGAGCTGTTGGCAGCACCACAGTCAGTCCATGTTCGTCCTCAATGGCCCCAACCGTCTGCCAGCGAAACCAAACTCAATTCAATGGATGAACGCACCAGGAGGCAAGCTCTGCTTCAGCTTCTCGGCCTTGTCGGCATCCTTCAGGACGAGGGTGTACAGGTAGCGGTGGCAGCGGACCTTGAACTTGGTCGTGTTGGTCTTGCGGTTGCGCTTGATCCGGGCGGCTGTGAAAGAAGAAAGAGATATTAGCAATCGCGGCCAGAATAGACAATAATTTTCGTATGAATAGCATCATCTCATAGGGCATATCTAATAAATTAAGAGGCCATGCAGAATGGTGCCCAAAGAGAATGAATGCAAATGTCAATTGAGGTCGAACATACAGGAAGCGTCCTTCCGCCGGCAGATCTCAATGAACTGCTTGATGTCAGAGACTTCGGTAGGCATGGTGGGCGGTCGTAAGACGGGACTGTATAGAAACAGACAGACAGACAGGTGACGGACGAAGTGAAGAAGCCTGGATGTAGCTCTTGTCTCTCCTTGCACGGTACAGCAGCCGGGCCTGGAATCGATCGATGTGTGGGATGCGGAATTAGGGTTTAGCGAGTCCGGAAACCCTTAGCGTGTGGCGGTGCTGGCGGTTGTGCTTGTGGCTGGTGTAAAACTAACAATGTGTATGTGTGGCGGTGCTACTAGGCAGCCGTGCGGGGAGCTGGAGATTGCTGTATTAATCTAGATAGATGTGTAATAGGGGAAGGACATGTGTCTTTCCTAGAATGCTATCTCTAAACTTACTTAAACCTATTCTTCTGATCCACCTGTCGCTGTATCCGTAACGCTAGAAGTATACCAAATTGATTCTTAGTACCTAGCAGTACCTCGCTTTCAGGATGCCTACTCCACTGGACAGGATGTTGAATTCCAAGGTGAGCTTGGATTAGGATCGCACAGCATTGTAACTAACAGATTTCTAGAATCTCCTGCTTGGTACATGACTGTTTTATGACACTGAGTAAATTTCCATATGTATATTGACAAGCAACAGGATTCGCCGGAATCGTCACTGCCGTCGCCGCCTGGGGAATCTGGGGCGGTGACATATTTCCTGCAGAGGGCGATCCAAGAGGAAGTATGTACATGCATGTCATTATTCTTATTTGCATAGCAATGCTCACGTTCGGATAGACCCTGACGATTGGACCATCGAGGAGTTGAGAAGATGGCTGCGGACTGTGGGTTTGTTATACCATATGTCGAGAAAGCTGCTGACTGTGCCCAGAGAGGGCTTCTGCCGGACGACGGTGCATCGCGGGAGGACCTGCTGGAGCGGGTCAAAGCAAATATGCGTCCGCGATCATCAAGTTCGTAACCGATTCATCGAAAAGGCGAAGTGTTCTCAGGCGTATGACGATATGGCGGACGGTTTTCGGTCCTTGAGGATGAAGAAATCACCCCTAAGTATTCGGACGGTAGCGACATGGTGGCCTTAAACCCACTCCTTCTCTCGCTGGCACTCTTCCTACTCCACCAGATTGTAATAGTATTTTTTTCTGTGGCCACGACAGGCCACCATGACCCAAATTCAGACTGTAAATGATTCGAGATGGGCGATGGAAATGTGCTCTTCGACGTGTCTCCCGCTTGCCTCCTATCCAAAAACTTCGCGTTTCAGACGACAAGTCGGAAGTTCTGACTTTGGATCAACCACTCCTTTTTGCCCTTGCCCTTTGCGCCACCCCCCGTTGAGCTCGCGGCAGGGTTGGGGACCAGGACAAACGTCTCGCTGAATCCGCGCTGGGGGGCATCCCTTGACTCGCCAAACTGCACGTATCCACTGACCGTCACCAGTAAAGACATGTCCTTCACGGTCGTCTGAGCCGGGGTTTTGACGCCCGTAGCGGTGGGGGTGGGATAATGGCTGTTGATGACCTGGCAATCGAAGGACTGTACTTCAAAACGGGTAGGCGGCAGTTGATTCACAAAAATATCCTGAACTGCCGCCCCGTCAGCGACTACATTCCCGTTGAAGAGAATCGTGGATGGCATCTGGCTGTAAAATGTCGCTATCGTTCCCCGGTTGGATTGGAGGGCGGAGTAAAAGGACTGGACGAAATCCGTGGCGCCTGCCGCGCAATTTAGACAGAGATCAAAAATACGTTGAGCTAAATTTTCTGAACGTACCATCTGTTGAGACTTTTGTGACCGTGTCCGCGCTCGGAGTAGACATATCTCTATTATGTTCTTGCGTGCGCGCTGCTCGGAGGGGTAAGAGCAAGTATTGATGTTGGATAAACGGTAGGAAAGTTGGAGATTATTCCAGGAATCCGAGTTTCAAAAAATCAAAAAAATAAATCTCAGTCTGTTTCAAAGGAAATAACACGTCGTTCGGCTCTGCCAGGACCAATATGTGGTGGAGGAAGAATTGATTGACAGCCTGGTAGGCAGCGGAAATGTTTGAAAAGTGTAGGGAGCTTGGACCACCGGAGGTGACGAGGGACTCCGCAAAAAGTATCCGTCAGATGCTGCTGCTTGGCATCTCTCCTCGACAACCCCCAATGGAGACGGCAAAGTGCCGATTGCGCGCCCTCTCTTGGGCGTCGAAATATCTGCCGGCGAGATCGCCTTCTTGGAATTGCTCGTCCCGCGGGTATACACGCCATGTCTCGAGCATTCGGCATCGGAGATTTGCGACTGCGGCCGCCCCGGAGGGCGCCAGAAAGCCCTATTATGTTACGACTCCCATTTTTTATGTGAATGCAGGTGAGTTAAGCTTGGCGATAGCCCTGCAGACTGCATGCTGACTTGAGTAGCACCTCATGTGGGACACCTGTATTCAATGGTCATCGGGGATACCCTGAAACGATGGCAGGTGCTGCTCGGCAAGGAGGACGCCCAATTCCTCACAGGCACCGACGAACATGGGATGAAGGTTCTGTTTCACGCCTTCAGGTTTGGAGGGCTTGATATCTGACGATAAGACAGATACAACGAGCTGCACAGGCAGCGGGGATGGACACACAGGCGTTTTGCGATATGAATTGCAAGACATTTGAGGTTGGTATCTATTCAAGCCCCTGCCTGCAACTGGCGTTTCTAACCCGATTTCCTGTAGGCTCTGGTAAAGGCGGCCAACCTGAACCATGACCACTTCATACGAACCACCGATGCGGCTCACAAAGATGCGGTGCGGTATTTTTGGGTACGTGACGCACGACCTGGGTAGTGATCAATAGGCTAAGGGTTTTTTGAAGGAAATGCTTCAACATCGGGGATACATATACACATCGAAGCATGAAGGGTGGTACTCGGTCAGCGACGAGACGTTCTTCCCTCAGTCTTCGGTGCAATCCGCTTTGGACCCGGCCACTGGCAGGAAGGTCATGGTAGGTACATCTCATCTTAATGGTTCTTAATGCAGTCTAACTCTCCTCAGGTTTCTGTGGAGACGGGCAAAGAAGTTGAATGGTCGTCAGAAACAAACTATCATTTCCGTTTGTCGGCATTTCAAGACCGACTGCTCCAATTCTACAAGGAAAACGAGTCGTTTGTAAGACCCGCAAGTTATATGACAGAACTTATCAAGTCTGTGTCTTCTGGACTGCAAGATCTTTCCATCTCGAGACCGGCGGAACGCCTGAACTGGGGTATCCGCGTCCCTGGTGACGACACGCAGACCATCTACGTGTGGTTAGATGCTCTGATCAACTACCTGACGAAAGCCGGATATCCTTTCCCGCCGGGCCAGGAACATAAACTTGGATGGCCGGCAGATGTTCATGTTATAGGAAAGGATATCGTCCGGTAAGTACTCCAGTTGATACTCTTGTTCTGCTCCTGCGGAATCGCTGACTTGCCAGCTTCCATTGCATCTACTGGCCGGCCTTCCTGATGGCGCTTGACCTTCCACTTCCCCGGAATATCCTTATCCACGGGCATTGGACGATGAACAAAGAGAAAATGTCCAAATCAACCGGCAATGTTGTCAATCCATTTTTTGCGATCGACCGCTTTGGTGTTGACACGATGCGCTTCTTCCTCACGTATCAAGGACCGCTTGGCGATGACTCCGACTACGACAACGAATTCATCATCCGCGACTACAAGAAACTGCTCCAATGGGGACTTGGGAACCTATCGCATCGCATCATGGGAGTTGCAAAATGGGACTTGCGCCCGTACATCGAGGCAGCGGCGTCTGGCAACCTTCCGAACGCCTCCGACCTTGATAGTGCGCATCAAGCGTTCATCGAGACCGCTCCTCAGAGGGTTGCGGATCATATGGACAACTTGAACCCGAGAGCTGCTCTCCGAGAGATTATGGGAATAATCGAGAAGGTCTGTGCGGATCAATAATGCTGTTATAACGCGTACGCGCTGCTAACGGGGAAACCAATAGACGCAAAAGTATTTCCATCAGGCAGAGCCGTGGAAGGACCGCGACCAGGCCCACCGCATCATCTACAACGTATGCGAATCTCTAAGGATGGCTGGGATCCTGCTGCAGCCATTCATGCCGGAGAAATCCGCGGAGCTTCTAGACCTTCTGCGGGTAGACGCGGCGGACCGCTCGAAGCGGAGGTTCTCGGCGGCGTCCTACGGGGCCGATCTCGAATACGGCAAGGATGTCGAGAAGACCAAGAAGATTCTTTTCCCTCCCCTCATCGTTGAGGATTAAAAACACTCCAAGATGCGGGGATATAATGAGGAGAGACATCTCCGAAACCTACGACAACAACTCTAATCTGCTCAAACTGACGCATTGCGCATCCCAGTGGGATGCATGAAATGGGGAGCATGAGGAAGCCTCTATCTACACGTGGTCCGCATATCCAGGTTGATCCGGTTCATTGGTAGATGCCCTCTCTTGTCCCTATCTCTCTCTGGTTAGAGAATTGCCAGAGCACAATTACCATTCCCCTGCTGACGTAAGCACGCATGTATGTAAGACCGTACATGCATGCATTCATGCACTACTTCCTGTACCATAATACTGTACTATAACTCTAACTGTACATGGATAGGATAAGGATTAGGTAGGACAGGACAGGACACATGAAATGAAACAAACCAGATGGTTGGTTATCCGTCGGCGATATCAGGAAGTATCTATTACTATATATTACTGTGTAGCACGGCACGGACGGGAAAGTCGGTATCAGCTTTCCCGCGGGCAACGAGGCCTCTGCCCTACCTTTTCCCCGGAAAGCTGTATCGTATCGTAAAGTAAGCCTTTCTGATATGATGTAACATGCTGGTAAAAGAAACTAGGTAGGTACTAAATAAGCTATCTATATACATGTACTCGACCAGGCAGGCAGGTAAGGCAGCCACACCTAGGTATTCTGCTGATAAATGATAATGTAATAATTGTAATATATGTATTCTACACCTGCCTGTTTCATTATAGATGTAACAAATAGTGAGTATAAGTAAATAAATATGTAAGCAAGTCAGTCAGTCAGCAGTCATTTACTTACTTACATTGTTCTCGTCCTCGTTCTCATTCTTGTTCTTTCTATTCTACTGCTTGCTTGCTTGCTTACTTACTTTAAGTCCTTATCTTTTAATCTTTACTATCCTATCGTATATCATGGTTAATAACTAATTCTTCCAATCTATGTCTACTTCATCAATCTGACTTGATACAAGCTACAATATCATATCGTATCAGATTGTTGATTAATTCATCAATCCTATCGCCATGGGAAGCTACTGCGAACCTCACTGCTCCTCCCCCTCCGTGGAGGAGCAAGAAAAGAAGATGTTTAAGAAGAAACAGCTGCCATGGATAGAGACGCCTCTAGTGGAGTCGGCTGTGTTGTCGAGGGCAGCGGGATGGTGAGTCCATTATCACGTATCATCTTGATTTCTTCTTTTTTTTTTAACTAATCCTGTTGTCTGTTAACAGCAGAATATTTCTGAAACTGGAGAATCTTCAACCAGGAGGGTCGTTCAAGTCCCGGTAAGTAGTATTTCTCATATGACTAGCACTAGTTTTGTACGTCTGACAGACTGACACCCTCTTCTTTGTCGACTAGTGCAATGGGCAATCTCATCCTTCACCACATCTCCAATCCCGCCAACGCAGGCCGCAAGCTCCATTTCTACGCTTCTTCCGGAGGAAATGCCGGGTTGGCAGCCGTCTGCGCCGCGCGCTCGCTGTCGTACCCCTGCACCGTCGTCTTACCCACCTCGACGTCGCCGCTCATGGTGCAGAAGCTTCGTGCCGCTGGCGCCACCGAAGTCATCCAGCATGGCGAGACGATTGCCGCTGCGGGCGAGTACATGAAGAATGTCGTAATGAAGGAGGAGAAGCACGGTCCGGGAAGTGACGATGACGTCGTGAAGATCGCGTTGCATCCGTTTGACCACGAGGCCATCTGGGAAGGGAACAGTACCATTGTCGATGAGCTGGCATATCAGCTTCCCCCAGCGGATGATGAAGGTGACGCAAGGGCACTTCCGGTAGATGCTGTGATATGCAGTGTCGGGGGAGGTGGCTTGATGAACGGCTTGGTGAGGGGCATCGAACGACATAGACAGCGGCGAGGAGACAAGCAGCAAAAAGACATCCACATTCTCGCGGCCGAGACGGAGGGCACGGCATCCCTCGCTCTGGCCATGTCTCGCAAAGCTCTCGTTTCCCTGCCCAAGATCACCTCCCTGGCGACGTCGCTGGGTTGCGTCCGCGTCTCGGCCCAGACGCTGGAGTATGCCCTGTCACCGCCACCCGGACTCGCCATCCACAGCGTCGTCCTATCCGACGCTGACGCTGCAAGAGGCGTTCTGCGGCTGGTGGACGACGAGCGGCTTCTCGTGGAGCTAGCTTGTGGCGTATGCGTCGAGACTGCGGTTGGAGTTGTCGACGAGAAACCACGCGGGACAAAGAGAAGGAAGAGAAGTTCGGCAGGAGACGAGGGCTACGGCGACGACCGGGATGACGATGCACGGAGCAGCCGGAGCAGCAGAAATGGCTCCTCTACAGCCGATGGGCCGTCATCAGCAGCATCATTTGCCGACAGCGCCGTGGGCTCAGACGAGGAAACAGAGATGATACCGCCCCGGCAGCTCACCCGGTTAAAACAGCTTGTTCCTGACTTGACCCCCGAAAGCAGGGT